CAAGGTGGTGGAAAAGGCTCTGCACATGATCTCATCAAGCACGTTGCAGAGTTGCATGAAAGACTTATAGGTGTCAAGATGATCTAGAGGGTCTTCGGTACCGTTGAAGATCTTGATGGCAAGCATCTTGAACTTCAAGGGTAAGGGGTAATTGATAATATCTGCAATAAATAAGGTATCAGTGTGCCTTACTAGGTAGCCTCCAGTCTCTAGCGCTTGTGCCTTCCTGGTGTTGAGGGCATCACCAAGTTGATTTTGCACCTTTCTGATCTTCTCGTCCCATTGGTTGGGAATATCCTCTATTGGGTTGTTGTATTAGCTTCCATGATCAGCATATTAGTTTTCTCATTTGTCCTCCTCCACAAATACATGAGGAAGGGGAACATGTGAGTTTCCTGCACACTGAGGAGGGACTGCTGGACGAGAGGCATTCTAGCGAGGGGCCCCATGGTGGGGGCTGCTTGGCGTCGAGAGTGGTTATGTTGCTACACCTCTCCCATTGGAGGGAGTGGTGCTCTGCATACGGGCTGAGGGGCAACGCCTCCCTAAGCGAGCATCAACTAAATGATTTGCTGGTTCTGATTTACCAGCAGCTGCATAGTCTGTAAGAGCTGTTGCCCAACGACGGGAGTCGCCGTAGCAGATGGTTCCAAGGATACGAGGGGAGGCGGAGCCTCCTCCCAGGGGGCCAGGTTGTTGTCTCTTGGTTGTTGACTCATTGACCTGGTTGTGATTGCCATGGAGTAGTAAGGTAGTAGAAAACTTAGTCATTTTCCATAGACGGCGTCAAACTGATGATGCATAAAATAATCTTGTGCAAGATCAACAATCGAGTCTGTGAAAAGGTTTAATTAATAGACAATAAATAAAGCAATCAATGACAGTAATATAAATATTGAGTCAACATGCAGATATATAATGGTTCAGTCCGAGTGACCGACTCCACTCTCAGAAACGACAACGGTGGTCGGGGGGTCTTTATTGATGAATAAAGGTGAACGGGGACAGAGCAATGGTTAGCTCCGTGAGAAATACAATACCTAGGAGAAAGATGCTATGTATATGTAGAGAGGTGTGGTGGGATACCAAGATATGTCCCTCCATGTGGAGAGAGCTTTCAATTTATAGGTATGGTGAGGCGGTGACGTGAGTGTGAGGGTACTAATTTTCTAGGGAGGATAGCAACAAAAAGTAAGTACAACTAATTCTTGTGTATCTATCCCGATGATCTTTTTCCCACGTGCCTCTTTCTTCATAAACTCCTTGGATCTTGAACTGGGTCAGATTAATAAAACGGGCTTGGACCGCCTTTTAGCTGACTTGGACTTGCTTGATTTATTGGGACTGACCCAGTTAAATTTGGGCTCGTCAATCTTGATTACAAATTACACACATTATCGCTTAAGCTAGAGTATCACTTTCCTTAGTCTTGTCTAGTATTTTATAGAACTAAAAATTATGAATAAGTTTGAATGAGCAAAAACCGAGCTAAGTCCGAGCTGAACTCCAGCGGATATGTTTAACTTCTGATTTGATTGTCTTTCTTGTGTGGAGAGAGTACTGCAAAAGACAAGTCTACAAGCCCCATGGATATAATAAGAAGCTTACTGGTAGATTATCATATTGCAATGCTACTGCCAGATTATTATTATTACCACACCACTATATGGTTATTGTCAATTTAATTTGTTAAGTAACCATATTAGATAAAAGATTATATAATGATAAGCACCTTTTTATTTGCAAGTGAAATCTAATTACTATATGTTGCATTAATATATGAATTTATAGCAACCTTAATAACGTATTTGGTAAGGATTTAGAATTAAAGATCTTGTCTTAAAAAAGGTTTGTAGACAAAATTTTTAATTAGAATTCCCATACAAAATGAGGCAGAGAATGTAACGTCATTTATTTTTTTTTGCTTTTAAGGAAACGGAGCGAAGCTAATTTCTCGTACTTACTTAGTGTGCCCCCCTTTTGTTGAGTGCCCCGCCCTATTCATTGGTGTTGCCTTACAAAGTACTTAGGGAAGGGAGTGGATCGAAAAAAAATGGGTATTCATCCAAACCCGTCCCATTTGGATCGGAGATGGACCATACGTATTGGACTGCGGACGTATACAGATATACCCATATAAATCCGTGTACAGATGGACTGTCACTTACTCTCGCCCAGTCCCCACCGCACCCCTGCTCCCCCACCCTTAAAGTTAATTTTAAAATTGAGTAGTCCACTTCTTTTTCTTTTTTCTTTTCATTTCTTCTTTTTTCCTCCTTCCCACACCCATCTAACAAAATAGGACAATGTTTTTCACCATGCTTCTCTCTCTCTTTTACGTCTCTTTCTTCTTTTTTCTCTCTCGTTGATCAAGCTACTTGAATATGATATTTGTTGAATTTTGATTATCTATATCTATACTACTAATAAAAGTACCTTAAATAAAAAAATTTTGATTCACTATTTTACCCTTATAAAAGATTTTAAATACCACATTATCTTTTCATGGTTAAATATCTAAATTACAACCACAGCCTGATGTATTTAAATCTTCAAACTACCCTCTAATATCTCTTTTAATTCTCTATTATCTTTGTATAAATATCAATATCTATGAAAAAATTTAATTCATTATGCAACCCTAAAAAATATATATGTATCATCATATTTTTCAATAACGTGTTCAAAAAGTCTATTAATAGATCATTACTATTTTTAAATAAAAAAATAACAGTATGTCTATATATATATATATATATATATATATATATATATATATACATATATGTGTGTGTATTTTTTTCTATCTATACTACTAATAATCTATATTACCAATACAGGTACCTTAAAATACTAATACTTTTTGTTAATATTTTGTACATGAAAATTATTCACGTGCAAAGCACGTGTTGCATTGCTAGTAGTATTAGATATGATTTTTACTGATTTTTGAGTTTATTCTATTTGAATATGGTTTTTGCTTTTTGAAAATTGTTGGATAGACTTTTTGCTTGAAAAGTGTTGGATAGATTTCTTGCTTGCTCACTATACCAAATGCCGGTCCTTGTTGATGAGAAGAATTATGTTGTAATTTTTGAGTTGGTGACATGCAATTTTTTTTATTTTTAAGATTATTTACAATGTGAAATTATGTTGGGCTTGAGCTTGGGCGGGGGTTGAAGGCGGGGACGAGGTGAGGGCGAGGATTACAAATTTACCTGCAAACAAAAATGGGGATAAAAATTATATCTGTTAACGGGAATGGACAGAGTTTTTTTAAGCGGGTACAAAAATGAAAACTACACCCCCCGCCCTTGCCTTCGCCCCGCTTCCAATTCAGTCCATTGTTATCCCTAAAAGCACTTGCTCGATGCTCCTAGCGCCTACTTGGCAGCCGGAATGCTCATTATCCTTACTTTTCTTTACGTCGGGGGCCCTCCCAATTGCTTTAGTCATAAGCTATGATCACTCCACCCTCGCATCCACGGGCCCGCCTTGCATGGCCAAAGTGCGCTCAGCGGTCAATCTCCATTCGAATTATGTTCATTATGTATAACCTCTATGTTTGCGTAGCGTGATCATATTCATTCATCATGTATAAACCCGAGTATGTGGATGATTTTTGTATATTGATAAGTAGAGAGAAGGATATATATTATTGATATTACAAGATGTCCTCTTGCAGCCTTCAATAACAAAATCTTGCTTCCATAAATTGCGTTGTTTGTACAAGGTGTTGTATTGAAAAGCCTTCCAAATACTTAAGTTCCATCTAAGGAGGATGATTAGTTGCTTGTAGTTTTGCATGTTGTTTAAGTTTAAAAAAAATAAATACGTTGGATTAAGTTATTATTTCAACAAAGAAAATTATGGTATTTGGTACATAATTAAAGTTAAAGATATGCACCATATCCCCAAGGGTACAATGTGAAAAGACATATCAAACCTTCAAATAAGATAATTTTGGCAAGTTATTTAAGACAACGGATTTGAAGTGATGACAAGTAGTACTCATCCGTCCTAGAGATATTTCATGAATTCGGATTTTTAAATTAATCTCTCAAAAAGGGATAAGATTACTTATCACTTACTTTTTCTAGACTTCGTTATAGTCGCACCCGCCTTTCAGAATGAGTATGAGTGTACGACCATTTTGTGTGTGTCTCAAAAAATAAAAATATTAAGATTTTTTTTGTGGTATATGGTACTTGGCTTGAAACTAAAGTTAAGATGTACCCCATATCCACCACATTCACAAGTGCAATTTATTGAAAGATAATGCCTTCAAATTAGGAAATTTTCAATATCACATGCATTTAATTTGTGCAACTATCAAGGCATATTTTTGAATTTTCAGTTTAATTGGCTATGGAGAAATAAATTTTCAACATTCTTATGTTCAAAACTTCAAATCATTAGCGCCGTATTATTATCATTCACTTTTTTTTTAAACATCAAAATTGGTGAAGCATGGATGGCACCGAATCAATAAGGCTTGAACCCATCGCCTATTATTCGAAAATCAGAATATTTACTACGATTGGAAACCTATAGAGCTAGTTTACCACTTAAACATGCATTAAATTTTGAATTTGACCTACAAAAATAAAAGAAAAGAAAATTTCAATAATGTTAATCCTTTTTACATGGAGACACAATAATTGCTAAATATATGAAAGACTTGAGACACAATACCTCAATCACATGTCAGAAGGTAAGATTAAACTCCATGAAAGTAGGTAAATTAATTGTGGGGTTTATTAGGAGATTCAAAGATAGTAGTTGATAATATATTTGGAAATATTGCATGCAAGCTCTGTCAAGACACAAAATCAAAGCAACTTCGTTAACCCTTACACTGATTTGCTTATATAACGCTATGCAGTGATTCATTGAAGATATCTTTCCATATGTAAGGATCTAGCATTAACTCTCTTCTTATTTAAAGAACAGTCTATCTCCTCCTTCTTACCCACAAACCCTAAACCTGTTAATTATCCATGGAGGCACCCATAGAACAATGTCCCTCTGAAGCCTCCAGTATCTCAGCAGCATCAGAAGGATCTCCTAGAAATAATGGTGATGACAAGAGGATGAAGATGAAAGCGAAAGTTGTGGATGGATCTGAAATAAAGCTACCTGAATCGGGCTCTCGCCTTTTTCTAGATCTCAAGCTCTCAAACAATGGTATGACCAGTGATTCAAAGCTCGAGCTTGATTTGTTTAACCCACTAAACGCGAGTTTCTCTCCTGAAGGAGAATCCTCCAGTGAGGCCACGGCTCTGGAAAAAAGATCTGAGCCGCGAGTTTTCTCTTGCAATTTTTGCAAGAGAGAGTTCTCTACCTCCCAGGCACTAGGAGGGCATCAGAACGCGCATAAACAAGAACGCGCTTTGGCAAAAAGGCGACATGGAGGGATGGATGTGCCGCCTTTTGGTCATCCTCCTTATCCCTACTATCCATACCTAGGTTTCCCTCAAGTCCCTCTATATGGTTCTTTTAACAGATCACTTGGAGTTAGGTCACCATCCATGATACAAAAGCCTTCTTACCCATGGTCTTCGTCGGGCTATGGTTATCGTTTTGGCAACGACGGGTGGTCTAGGTCTTCAATGATGAACTCACAAACATCCTTTGATAGATTAAGGATGGAGGGTGGTTTTCAGGCAAATCACGGTGGGTTCGGAACTCCCGGGACTTCTTCTTCTTCTTCTAGGTTTGAAGGAAGTGGTACTGCAGTTAGTAACTTTGGAGGTTCATCCCTCACAACTCTAGATGGTGCTACTAAGAAGGCAACCGATGGTGAATTCTCGGGTGGTCTCGATTTAAATCTAAAGCTTTAATTGGTTTTGTTCAAATCTGTTATATGATTGATGTTTTAGGTTATGATTTAAGAATTGTTTTATCTCCACATTTAATTGAATGAATTTCAGATTTTCACAATAGTAGTGTATAATCTTATTTATTCTTTAGATCCTATATATGCTGTTATGTTTTTGTTTCAATAAATGTTTGTTCTAATTTGAAATTCAAAATATGATCTTGTAGAATTATTGTGAGACCATGCAAGGTAAGAAGGTAGTTGGCATGGAATGTATTCATTATTCTACACACACTCTCTCTCTCACTTGGTGTAAATATAAGTAAATATTGAGTGTAACGATTATACCATGTCTGCATTGTTGCTTGTGTAACAACTCAATGATAAATTAAACAAATATGCAAGTGAACTCCACTTTTTTAGTATATGGGGGTTATCATCTTACATGGAGGGTCAGTTATTTGAAGGAGTGGATTTCATTTTGCCTAATTATTTGTTTATCATTAGATTGGACGGTTACACACGTAGAAATACTGACGTAGTGCAACTGTTATATCCAATATTTACTCTGTAAATAGGGCCAAGACCCACCCATTATTCAAATTAAACTTCCTCGAATGGAACTAAACTGGGTGTTATTTTTTCTTCGACAGTAATGATAAATGTCCCTCAAATCTCAATATATCAATGTGCAATGTTTGATGGCATGCGATATGGAAGGCTTGATGATAAATTCATGGTTTTTTATTTTTTTTTGGGGAACCAGCAGTTTTTTAAGGGTACAGAACTTATCTACGTATTTACCAGAAATAAAACAAAAAAAAAATTGTCTTTCAAGAATAAAGAAGTTGTCTTCTTGGCTAAATCATTTTAAAAAGGGTTAATTATGTTTTTTTTTTAATATTTACTCTGATTCTCAGTTTGGTCCTTGAGATTTTTTTATGGGCTTGTTAATTTATGTCATGTCATGTCATCTACGTGTTATTATTTTTGGATCGTGTTATTGTAATTTATGTCGTGTTCTTGCAAGTACATTTGAGAAAAAAATTATATTTATTGTGTTATGAGTGTCAAGCATTAATTTAACCCTTTTATTATACATATTTATCAATCGCGTGAACTTTAAAGTCGTGTAGTATTGAGTTTATGTTGTGTTTGTATAGATGGGTCAGATTGACACCTCTAATTTTTTATGAATTTTTTAGTAAAATAAGAAAGGTAGGGGAGAGATAAGACACCAATTAGTCTTTGGTCCAATTGTACTCCTTATTTTAAAAGCTTTGTCTTCTTGAGGTCAAGGGTTCAAGTCTCTTTCCCAAAAAAAAAAAAATAGAAGGGGGAGAGATAAGAGGGAGATAATTGTGAATTAGTAAGATTGTCTAGCATTGAGAGTTGTGCAGTGAAAAATACGTTTTGAGCAAAAAAAGAAATTTAGAGATGATTTTGTATCGTTAGATCAAATAGAAAAAGATTAGATTAGTCTTGATTGTTATTTTTCCTTTAAAAGTTGAGAAACCAACTTTTTAATTATAATATTAGATAGATTTTTGTAGTACATTTGCATGTACTATATAATTATAATTAATGATCATTGCTTTGTAGTACATTTGTATGTTGCAGCAAAATTGTAGTGATTGTTACCATCAACGACCCATTCTTTAACCTAGCTTATCAAAATATGTCATTTCTCATTCATGTCATCAAACTTTATCTTCATCACCATCCTAAATGTCATTGTATTAGCACATTCACATCCTCCCAATTGGGAAAACGTACAACAATCTATTATTTATCATTCTTTTGCTTTAATTAGAGATATTGAAACCCATCTAGGCTTTACAATTTTTTCAAAAAAATTTAGTGGGGTCACCAATATATTGAATTTGTCCACGGCTTTATAGATGGTACCCATTCACAAATTATTCTCAATGTTGAAATATAAATGCTTAAATTACATCTTCTCAAATAGCTTAAACATTTAAAGTAGATTGTTGTTTAACATAGTATCAGAGCAGGAGGTCATATGTTCAAATCTCACTGTCACCCTAATTACAAGATTTCTATGTACTAGGCACAAAATCTAACCTGCACGTAAAGGCGTGTTGAAATATAAATACTTAAATAACATCCTAAATTTTTGGAGTGGATGGTTGTTTAACACTCAATAAGGTTGTATGAATGCATAGAAAAACAAATGAATTGGTTGACAAACTGTGAATCTTATCAGTAATGTTATACTTTTTAAGTTTTTCATCTTAAGCGATGTGACACAATCTCCATCATTGAATATTAATGAGACCTACTTATTTAATGGTGAAAACTGTGCTCACTCATTTGGGATGAAAATTTTGATAAGAAATCTTAGTTAACATTGTAGCGTTAGAATCTTATTAAGAGGTGTAGGCCCTACTAGTCTTACAACAAGTGCAAATAGATTTCACCCATTTTAGTGATACTATACATTGTTAAAAAAACATGTACTGCAATTTAGCTCTTCATACAATTATTTAACTCACCAATATCTTCATACTTAAGGAAACTGACATATTTCTAGAGTCCCAACACCCAATAATCATAAAAAGTGAAACTAAACCACTATACAATTAAGAAGGAAAAAAATTTCTAACAGATAGTCAACCTATGCTAGAAAACAAAAACAGTTTTAATCAGTACAACAATATCTTGTATTGGTCCCTATCTTCCACATAAAAGAGATTAGAATTTATATGGTGCATTCACTTACTCTCACTTAAACATAAAAGAGATCATACATAAGCATATGACATGTATAAGGGAAAACTCTAAATATTTGAGCCAAAAAAGTTCAAGAATAACAAAGGCAAAGTCCATACGACTAAACTAAAGATTTGAAGCAATGAAACACCATAATTCAAACATTTTTAAAAGATGAAATTTGAAAATGAAAATTATATTGAAGAATTAAATACCAATCAAAATGTTGTTGCAACCAATATCGAGAAACATCCTTTTGTTCACTCATGTGATATTCAAAGCCTTTAACTAAAGTGGAAATAAAAAAAAATGTTTAGAAATATAATTGGCAAAAATAAGACCGTTAGATAAATCGTTGATTTTTTCATTTAAAATTTGCTTAGAAATGTGTGAGCGTGATGAACGTAACATGTATTTGTTCCTAGAATAGATGAAAACAGAGAAAAATAATAATGAGAATTTTGCCTAATAATACGGAATCGTAAGATAGACAACTTACAATTTCACAACTTGAAGTAACATCGCAACTAGTGACTTTAGCTTGATCGTTACACTGAATCCTCATTACCGTGGCGGCATTGCCACAGTAGGTACTATAACAAGTAAAATTGAGTTTGGCCTGTTATATTTAATATATATTTTAAAATATAGTACATATTTATTCGTTTCTAACATATATATGTGTATAGAAATATAAGTTAATAAATATATATATATATATATATTTAAAAATTATTTTTAGACTTATTGCACATTATGATCATTTGTTTTATTACTTATATTGTATTAATTAATTATATTAAATGGAAAATGAATTTTCAAAGATATTGATCGTTGGTTATTAACCGTTGAGATTTGCAATTGACCATTGGATGTCAATCAATGCATCCCCCAGTTTTGCAACTATTCAAACACTATATAAAGTCTATTCTTCAGACTTAAGAAAAATTAGTGTACGAAAAGGAAAAATACAGAAAGCAAAGAGGGAAAAATACAGAAAGTAAAGCGGGAAAAAATAGAAGAAAGTCTACTGTCCGGTGGATTTTCTTGTGTAGTTGGTTTTCATACATAGTAGATTTCCTTGAGTAGTTTATCAAATTGCTATAACCAAATTTTGATATACTTTCAAATATACTATTACTTGAGATCTTGGTATTTATTTGAAAACGATCAAGAGTTGTTGGAGACACCTCTACATTTGCGAGTGTACGCTTGCGGAGAAGCGATAGTTGAATCCAGGAGGATAGGACGCTATAACCTGCTGCAACGGGTTTTGTACTTAGAGGGGCGGAAATCTATTCTTAAGGACAGTGACTACAGGCCTCTATCGATAATTTTTTCTATTTCTTGTTTATCATCTAATTTGTAGTATTCTTGAACTGAAATTTTTACAATAATCTTAAGAATAAAATAATATGGATGCTACAATTATAAATAAGACTATTCCTGATGTGACAAAAATTGAGTCTTTCAATGGGTCTAATTTTAAGCATTGGCAACAGAGAATTATGATGTTACTTGATATAACATGTGTTGCATTTGTTTTGACTGATTTAAAACCCGAAGAAGATACAAAAAATTATGTAAGAGAAAAAGAAAATTGAAAAAAGGCTGATAAGGTTTGTCGGAATATTATCTTGAATGTTTTATCAAATGAATTGTTTGATGTTTATTATCATTATAAGCATGCTAGAGAGATTTAGGATAGTTTGGTAAAAAAGTATATTGTCGAAGATGTGGGAATTAAAAAATATGCAATAGAAAATTTCTTAGACTATAAGATGGTTGAGGAGAAGGATGTGTCTTCTCAAATTCATGAGTATCATTTGATTATTAATGAGTTGAGGAATGAGAAAATTACTTTGCCCGAATCATTCGTAGCTGGTGCTTTGATTGAAAAATTATCCGATTTTTGAAAATTTTACAAAAACAATCTTAAACATAAAAGAAAGGATATATCCTTGGAAGATGTGATTATCCATATTAGGATTGAAGAGTAAAATCATTTAAAGGATAAAATTGAAAAGGCTAAGAAAAATGTCTCTAAGGTCAATGTTATGGAGACTACGAATAAGCCTCAATATAAGCATAAGAAAAAGAATCGCAATGGAAAAAATCTCCATAAGGCTCAAGGTTCTAGTTTTAAGAAGTAAGGTAATTGTTTTGTTTGTGGAAAAGCAAGACATTATGCTCAAGAATGCCGACACCGAAAACAGAACAACAAACCTATTAAGCCAAATGTCAATTTGGTTGAGTCGGATGATGTTATTGTTGCAGTCATATCCGAGG